CTGTATTGGACTTCAAATAACCAGCAGTGACTTTAATAGCAGGCACAGTGTGGATTTATAGCACACAGGAGCAGACTTACAAATTTCGGGGGAGGAACAGCCACATTAAGACTCTTGAGCGCCACCTCCAGGCCATTCTGAGCACAAGCCACCAGCCGCAGGGCTATGAAGAATTGCTGAGGGCAGAAGAAGAAGAGTGACGTAAGCCTGGTGATGATGAACACATTTCTGAAGGAGTTCACTTTGGAGCTACTTGACAGTGTGCTGGTACCTGCTTGTTGAGTGCTCCCTTTCGTTCAGAGTCTGCCAAATCCCAGATCTAAGGAGACATTTACAGATAAAACATCTGTTAGCATCGATGAGAACATTAAAGCTAACAGAGAGCTGCGTCTCCACTCACCTTCCCAAGGACCAGGTCAGCCAGACCTGACCTCTTTAGGAACAGAGCTGCATCAGCTGCTGCCACTCGCCCGCTGCCAGTCAGATCAACCTACACACACACACACACACACACACACACACACACACACAGACACACACACACACATTAAAGCTTATCTCATCTTAGAAACTATCAGTATAACAAGCTAAAATGCTAACAAAGACAAAACTCTTAGCTTCGAAAAAAGATGGGGAACAACTGAAAACCATGAAAATCGGCTTTGGAGCCTCTGAGTCATTTAAATCAATGCTGGTAATAAACCAAAGACATTTTCTCAGCAGTCTATTGGCTTAGTCGTCTTTCATGAGGCTCAAAGGGAGTGCTGCTGACATGTTGGGCAAAGGGAAACATTATTAATTCATTGAGGTACTTCCTTTATTGGACACAGGCACTGAAACTGATAAAGAGAAGTGAGATCACTGCTCGCTGCAAGACAGCAGTATAAATGCAGGTTTAGTTTGTGTGCTGAAACTACAAAAACCCCATCCTCTCATTGGAAGATTTTATTTTTTTTGATTATCTCCATCCAGAGCCATGTAAAGCCAAACTATGCAGGAGTTATATGCACACACACTGTAACCCATGGGAAAGATACAATGGCATACCTGACGATAGTATTTGTCATAGATGGGGTTTCCACTGGAGAGCTGTTTAAGGAGAAAGAGAAGTATAAAAATTTAAAACAGTCATTTTAACCTAAATTCAAAAACGTTCCTTATAACAATCTAACACTAATCGTTCAAATGATTTTTCAAAGTAAGCTCTGAAATAACCAACAAGAGTTTGACATCCACTGAGCCAGTTAAAGAGCTGCTTGTTATAAGTATAGCCACTGGCCAAATGTGTTAAAAACAACTAAAAATTACTTCAATGACTCATTTAGTAGAACGTTTTAAATTAAAGAAGCCACAGTGTGACTGCAAAACCAAAAAGTTTATAATGGCTGTGTTACAGGTGGGATAACAAATAAAGACAAAAACAATACAGCATCTATGACAATGAGTAGCAACAAGGTGCAGCAGTTTTCAACATTAATAAGTCTGCTGCTTATAATTACAATAAATCCAACTTTTACTCTTAAATGCCTGAAAAAAAGCGATTTCTTAAACTTTCCTACTTCCTGCCATATAAGCACATCAAATATTGTGTAATTTTGCTTAGAAAAATCCATATTTATGCAGCATTGTTAATAATTACCACAATCTCCCCCTATTAAAATGAGGCAGCTATTTTGTCTTTTTGAGTTGAAATAAAACATGTCTGAAAATGCTGACGTACCTGATCAAAAACAAGCCACAACCTAAATATATTCAATTAATACAAAGAGAAACTGTTTAAATGTCACTGAGGCTGAGAAAATATCGCTTTTCCAAACAACTGAATCCTTTTTCGATTTATCAGCTGACTGTTTCATTGAAAAGCTACTCTGCATTTCCTCGTAAAGATCTACACAAATACTCTGGAGAATGGATGGATGACTCAGAATACACCAGAAGGTTTATGCTGAGTTGCACAGAGAGTGATAACTTTTGTGATAACTTCAGGATGCAGGCTACATTTCCTGGGGCCCCCTGGTCAGCTTTAGGCATTTACAACAAGGCGTCACTCCAAAGGCAACAGTTAGTCTGGCCTTCTGTCATGTCCTCCCTAAACACCCCTCTTTCCTCTGTTAAGAAAAATGTCTACCGTTGGACTAAAGAGGAAATAAAGCAGTGCTTCCTTATTTGTGTAACTGAAACTGACAACTGGTTGTTTGGTTTCAAATTGGCAGGTGCAAGAAAGGGAGGAAAGGGATGGACAGTAATTGTTTCGAGTGTGAATCAACCAGGGAGTGGCTGGTCAATGGAGGCTAAGGCTTTCAGACACATGTGAGATTACTCTCTACTGTAAAACAGACTTAGACCTGACACAGAAAACAACTCAAGCACACAAAAAGCAAAGTTATCAGTCAGCTTTTTCACCCACCAGTTTACAGTGAAATAACTGTTGACACACACATATCTTTCTCTAGTCAATGCAACTTTTTTCTTTTCCCCTATGACACACAATAGTGTGCCTGGGACTGTTGGCGTCTGTAACACTGTGGTCTTTGTACTGGTGACTTTAATTGAGCACTGAAAAAACACCCCTCAATCATCCCCCAGCTAGCCCATACAAAACTGCAGCAGATAGCCAGAAACATCAGGGCGCAGGAGCTGGCGGGACAGGCTAGACTGTTCTAGAGATTATAACCACCCATGGTAATAAAGCACACTGATGTCACTATCAACACCAAACATGAGGCGAGTTTGGGGATTATCGGGCATCTGACAGGAACACTTGCAACAAGCACTGGTGCCTGACAGGCCAATGAACTCCCACAGCTCACAGATAAACACAGGTTTTAAGCCATTTGAGAGACAAGGATCTCAAAGCTGCTCCTGGCAGGCAACTCTTGTCTGTTGCTGGAGGTAACGGCAGCTCAGGTAACAAGTCCACGACTGAAAGCTGCTAATTTAACCTGCTCGTAGCCTCCTAAACAACACAAACACATTCTGACGCTACATTATTCAGAACTTAATTTAGCTAGCAGCAACTGTGCAACCCTTTACCACAGTAGAGGTGGCTAGTTGCTTGTACAATTCACTTCCTCTTGCTAGTTACAACATAACAGCTAACGATATGAGGAGTTTTCTCTATTAACTAATTGTTAACAGCAGCAGCTAACAGGGTAACTGTTAACGCTGTCCACTTTTGAAAGGTCACAGGGGGGAAAGACACCAAGCCAATCACCGAAGCATGTTTACTTCTAATAATAGCAATAACAAGGCAGCCTATTCAGTCTAACCATGTACCAAAGCTACATACGAGGCAAGGAAATCCAACACATAGGCTACAAGCTTTACTGTATATAGCTTGGGTGCTTTATCAGAGGAAAAACAATGTTAGCAGAGGCTGAAGTAGCAGAAATGTGACAGTAGAGCCACAGCAGAGCCACACATGGGCAGCCCAACACCCAAATAGCCTGCAGCAAACCGGGGCAGCACTAAATACGATTAGAAAACACCCGAAAGGAAACGAAGACGAGTAGCGCTAGCTTACACGGTTTATCTCAACTTTGATAAAGCGACTCTAAAACAGCCCAACACTGGTCACAAACTAGCTGTTAGCTAGCAGGCTAGCTAGCTAGCTACGCCCTTACGCAGTCCCCAAAGAGATTAGGAAGAAACTTTTCCCAGTCACAGCAGGGCTAAACTTCCAAAAGAGGAACCAGAATCAAAGAAAGCCCGCGATTCTTTCAGCCAGACTTAACCGACGCTGCCGAAACATCTCCGAGCGTAACAGGCAGAGGGCAGAAAGCGTTTGCTGTCGTTATATTTGAGTTGTAAGACAGTGTTACCTGAGTAAGAGACAGACTGGAAGCCATAGTGTTTCTGTTTCCCACCGCTTCCAAGCTGCGCTGACGACAGGCAGCGGTAGAGGCCGCTGAAAACCCTGAAACCAGACCTCAGGGACCGACCTCCCCTCGGAGCTTCACCATCCCTCCATCGCTGCCAGGAGGTGCACAAATAACAAAAGCCAATGGATGCAGAGATAAATAACAGATAAATAACAAATAAAGACTTGAAACACCCACTCTATGAATTTCTTTACTTTTAGTTGCGTCATTTTGCTATCGGCAATTCATTTTTCTATGGGTCGTTTTAAAATATATTTTAAATGTCTAATATATAAGGCATTTAAAAATATATAGATAAATAGAATATCCACTACGACCAAACACATTTTTATTTAAGTTCGAACACTAGTGAAACACAGCAAATTTTGCAAGTCTGACTTTACGTTTTATGATCAATTTTGTTTCAAAGTAGAATAAAATAGAAAAAGAAATGAAAAAAATAAAAATGAAAAAATGAACTGTTAACATCTGTTATTTTTCCCTGTCAATCTATTGAGTTTAATGACAGGAAGCAGAACTGCCCAAGCTGATAAAGTCGGTCAAAGTATAGGAAAATGACAATGAGGACAGAGAACTACGACATTTAAATACAAAGAATATTTCATTATTCGACTGAAATTCCTGCAAAATTTTCAAAAAGCCTCATAAGACAAGTGTTGTTCACCTAGTCTTAGTTTTTAGTCTAGTTTTATTTAACTTTGATAACCTTTGTGAGTAGAAAATAAAATACAGACGAAAGGAGAAGATTCAAATGTAAATGCAGCTGAAGTATACCCAGGTACTGCAAACTGTAGTCTACCTTAAACCTTGAGTTTAAACTGTAGCGCAACCTTTGATGAGCCCGGTGAGCAGTAAAAATAAAATGATTGCCAAATTTGAACAGATATCCAAATCAAATTAACATTCATCCATCCGTGTTCTTCTGCTGTGGCCTGTCCCAGTTGTCATGGGTCAAGATTAAGGGGTCTACCCTAACCAGGCCATCACCTACACAATAACAAATTAATTCAGAGTCTTTGGACTCTGGAGAAAACCCACCCGGGGGAAAAGGGAGAACAGATAAATAAAACATGATGACACACACGCACAAAAAAAAAGACACAAAATTTCACAAGGATCTTTTCATTGTTTTCTTCTGGCTGTTTTATTGGACAGATCACCTGCCTTTGTTTTTATTTTACACAGCAACACAAAAATCGCCCCACTTCATTTACTACCATTAGTACAAAATGTCTTTTACAAAAGGAGCCTCTGTCAGACTGTTGGGACAGTGTGTTGGGGTACAGCAGTGCAGAAAACTTGGAATCAAAAATCAGGAAACGAGACGTATACACAAACGGCGAGGAAACCTAAAGTGTGTGCGTACCAAACGACCAAATGTTCTGCTACTGGGGTGGTCTTAATGTACATCCTAAGTTTGAGTAGAGCTTATTTAGACACACAAGACTATAGTATGTGCACTGAAGTGGAAAAAGTGTTACCTATACAGTACAAAACTATGCAAGGGACTTCATCTTAAAGCACCTCATGTTACCATCCCACTGCAGACTGATTTGTTTTCTTTTTTTCACTTTTGATCAGGTTGTCAAATATAGTGTTAGTCCTACTGCACTCTGGTTGCCGTGCCAACAATCCTCGTTTGAATCAGATAGTGGAAACAGAAGAAGGCAAAATAACCTGGATGACAACATCAAATCCTATCTAATCCTTCCAGCCCGACAGGAATGAGAGAAAGAAAAATGTACAAAAATAAAAAATGAAAGGCAAACAAAACACATGAGGTAAACCAAACGTTTTGCTGGTACCAAAACCTCCATACCAAATAAAACTTCTCATCTCATCACAATATTACACTTCATAACAACCCAGATTTTGTAAAATGTAAATGACAATTCACACGTTTGTGTTAAAATGTCTGGTTTTGACATTCATTTGACATTAATTATGCTTATCACTAGTCCTCGTTTAATAATCATCATTATAATAGTAGTAGTAGCACATGGAAACAAGAAACAGAACATTTAATTGCCCTTTTCTGACCGATCACCTTGCTTTGTAAACAAAGAAATGGAAAAAGCCCTTCCCACCCAGCCCCCACCCCGGGGTGTCAGTCGTCAGGGTCTCAGTCTCCAGCCTTATTCCAACGGCCCACTGACACAGTCTGAGCAGTTCTTGAGTTTATAACTCATCCTTGAGGTTAGAGTCTGTGCCTTCCTCCTCCTCTTCCTCCTCCTCCTCCTCCTCCTCCTCCTCCTCCCCCCCCTCCTCCTCCTCGTCCTCCTCCTCCTCCTCCTCCTTCTCTTCTTCCTCCTCGTCCTCCTCCTTTGCCTCTTCTCTCCTCTTCTTGTTCTCCTCCTCGCGCTTCTTTCTCTCGTCTTCCTCTTGGCTTTCCTTCATCTTCTTCTCAGCATCCTGGAGAAAATGCGAACAATGCAAATAAATATATCAACCTATATGAAAAGCTCGTTCCTTTTTATTAGTGTTGACACTGACGTGAAATTAGAATTAGGATTACAGGGTACAGGGCTAAAACGAGCATACCTTAGTCTTGCCCCATGTGTCGTTGCCAACTTCCTCTGCCAGGTTTGGATCGTTTGTGATTAGAAAGTTGTCAAAGATAGTCCCAGACTTGACCTGCAGCCAGACACAAGGGCAACGCATATTTTGTTATCAAATCTTTAAAGAAAACAAGCACAATCACAAACTCAAAGAGTTTCTTCCTGGGAAAACATGCAGTTTTCCCAGCAGCTCACACAATACAGAGCAAGTAACCAAATTGCTGGATCAGTGTAAATAGTTTTAAAATATTTCAATAAATTTCATTATGCATTAAGATGTAAATACACATCCAGCTTACCTGCCACAAGTCGAGCCCAATCACCCCGACGCTGTCGTATTTATAGATCTCAGAATCGGCCGTGTACTCGGGGTTGTCAATCTCAGGGTGGATCCACTTGCCCTTGTAGGCAGGGTTGTCAATCTCTCTGGGCTTCCACTCACCCTGCGGACAGCAAACACACACAGAGAAACTGGGGTTAAAACACAAAGCGGCTGACAGTGTAAACAGAGTAAATATTTTTGGATAATATGCCAATCCTATTCTAGGAAGCTCGCTGATGTGCAAAGCTCAGAAAAATAGCACAGAATAAATACTGACTGCATGAAGAGTTAGAATCACTGGATATGCACCTTGTATTCAGGGTTCGTGACCATCGGTGGCTCCCACTCTCCATCCATCTCATCATCCCAGTCATCGGGCTTCTTGGCATCAGGATCTGGGATGTTCTCTGGTTTGTCCCAGTCCTGCAATGAAAACAAAAACAACAAAACATTTGAAACACGATCAACCTATCGAAACTTTTAAAAAATTTAAACAGTGTTGCACACGTGAGACAAGTACTATCATTAAAGTGATGCCCTGAAAGAATGCCAGGTCACACTGACCTCAGGTTTCTTATCGTCAGGGTCAGGAATCTTCTCCCGGTCATCCCAGTCCTCTGGCTTTTTGGCCTCGGGGTCCTTGATTTTTTTGGGAGGCAGGAAGTCCCAGTCATCCTCCAGATTGCCAGATTCCACCTTCTTATTGTCTATCTTAACCTCATAAGTGTTGTCAGGGTTGACGACCAGTGTGTACAAGTGGGTGTACTCATCATCCTGCAGGGCAGAAAAAAAGCTCAATACATGCAACTAACAGCATATTACCATGTAGTTTATTTTTAATTGTTTAAGCTCATGCGTCCTTATATTGTGGTGCTTTTTATTAGAACTAGCTTTCCCATGCGTCACCTTGCACCGGATGTCCTTGTTGATCAGGTGGTTCTTGCCTTTGTAGTTGAAGATCACGTGAACTTTCTTTGTGCCAGGGCCGCAAATATCAGGACCTGAACGAGCCCACAAATACAAAGTGACAGTGAATGTCTGTGTGTAGCAAACACTGCTCTGTTTATCCAACAAAAGCAATACCATTTAACACACCATCCTTTGGTCCACTTACCAAACATGATGTTGTAGACAGAGTCTCCATGCATGTCCTCCTGGTTGAGCTCGGAGGGAAACAGTTTAATGTAGCCTCCGCCACAGTCGATGCTCTGCTCGTGTTTCACAGAGAACTGTATGACTAAAGGCTGGCCCTTGTTGCTGAAGTCATCAAAACGGGCTGACAGTGCATAAAAACGGGCATCCTGGCTCGTCTGCAGACCTGCAGAAACAACGGTGTTACTGCAGGGAAGATCAAGCGAAACCAGCGAGTACTCCTGTTCTGTCTTAATGAAACAGTACGGGTTAATTTGATGCTCTGTTCTCAAGTTGAAGAACAGAGAGGAAGACAGCCGTGTTGATACTGGCAGAGCTCCACGAGGAAGCAAACACACGCCTCTGACAGCAGGTGTCTGACAGGGTAGTACAGTGTAATTATGCAACACATATCAGCGCCTTCCTGCTTACCTTTGTCTTTCTCTTCATCACCGTAGAATTTCCCAGCAGTCAGGACAAACTTCCCATAATCGGACTTGTGCTTGGATTCCACCCAGCGACTCATCCAGGCATCTGCACAAACAGGTTCAGAGTCAGCTGCCCAGCAATCACCAAGACAAGACTCACAAAACTCTGTTAATCCAGCCTTCGATACAGAGTGTGTGTGTGTGTGTGTGCGTGTGTGTGTGTGTGTGTGTATGTGCGTGCGTGTGTGTGCGTGTGTGGGTGGGGGGCATACTGCGGGATTTTGTGACCGCCTTCACAGATGAAAGAACAGGACAGCTGGGAGAAGGAGGGTAGCAGTGAATGACCAGGGGAGAGATGTGCAGCAGTGGGGGGAGGGGGGAGGCAGACGGGGTGTGATAATAGCTTTGAGGGCTGGGAAACATAAAGCAGGGAATATGAATAAATCAATGAATGGATGAGTGATCGGCTGGTCTTCTAGACTAATCAGCTGACGATGTATTCCACAAATTGCGGTAAAATCATGAGAAATAACCGTAACAATCCACGCCGATATGCGGACATGAAAAATAGCCATCATCCATCTCAGTCAGCACCACAGCATCTCAAGCATGTACAGCAGCAACAAAGAAAAGCAAGCACTTCAATCCTATCTGTGTAATGTTGTGTGAAAGCGCTCACCGCCGTCTTCAAATTGCTCGCGGAAATAAACTGTGGACTCGGCCAGTACAGATGCAGCCGACACGGCCATCAAAAGCAGGCACAGTGCTGTCATGGCGACGAGCTGAAGCAGCCGGTCAAAAACTAACCAATTACAAATAAAAATGCCCGTGTAGAAAGATTTTCTCTAAATAAGGCGAAGCAGCGTTGTCTGTCAGTGCGGTATCCCCATACAGTGATGCTACAGTGAGAGCCACCGAGACGCTGCCGCTTCTCTCCTCTCGCCTCGGAACAGATGTCTGAATCTGATTGGACGACGGTTGCTAACCTCAATAAGGAAGCGCTACCGCTTAAAGCCAATCAGAGGACAGAGAATCCGGACGAATACTTTCTGCAGCCAATGGGAGCAGACCACGCGTTTGCCTGATACACGCCCAAAGGAAGGATGATGCGCCGTGGGTGAATCACATGCAAGGGGAAAATGCAATATCAGTAACAACACGAGTATAACTAAAGCTAAACAACGTGAACTACATATAAATATACATCTAAAAAAATAAATGAAATAATTCGAATCGGTAGGAAAAAAATAATTTTCTATAAAAATAAATAATTTTTTACATTCTTAACAAATGTTTTCACGCCTGATCTCGTGCAGCATATCTATATCACCTCAGGCGTGATTTTCTTGCCTTATGTAAACTAAACTAAACACAGGAGATTCCACAGAAATATACATCACAGGCGTAACAACTCTGTAATAGGTCCCAGGGCAGATGGGTGTCCTTACCTCCACATTGTACCAGAACAAACACAGCATAGCATATAGCAATAATAAGACATATCAATGGCATCAGTGCAGCTTGCAACCAGCACCACGGATAACAACCGCAGTCGGGGGTTGGGTCAGCGGACAAATTTACTTAAAGCCTACAAACACACACACAAGCCCAAAATAGATTCAGCCTTGCTAACGTAACATAAAGACACCTGTAATATGTGCAAGCTACAAAAAGCCACAGGTCCTCGCAGACTTACTCGATGGGCAGGGTTATAACAAGCACACTGATTTATAGAATTCCTCATTCAACAATTTGTTTTCTACATATATCACACACTCACATACTGACGAGTGCTTATTTTGAACATATGACTGGTACCAATGTTTCAAACCTTTAAACAAACTTCATCTCTCGGGCCTTGCATTCAGCAAAGTCAACACGTTCATAGGGAGCAAGAACAAGTAATTTAGTTCCCAGCATCTATCAAAACATTGTAGAGTGTAAAATTACTGTGTCAATATTTGCACAACTGAAAATGTAATAAAAATGTATAAAGCATAAAAATACAGGCTTTCTCGAGATAGAATTATGACTTAAATATATATAGTGGTATCTAGTCCACTTTACTGTAATCCTGTCAATATAAGTACCCAGTGTAACATAGAGGAGGGCCCTCTAAGGTAGTTTTCTCGACTGGGTCCCAGGCGCTGCCCTGCCTGCCATATTCAAATTCGAACATTAATGTGGAGTCAAATCACTGAAATCGATGACGATTGTTGTTTACCAGGTTTTTATTTCTTTAAACCGTGTCTGACAGGTTCTCTCTGTGTTCTTATTGTGATGTGACCCTCAGCTTTGAAGCAGACTGTGTTGATGATAGATGAATTATACCAACAAAAGAGTAAAGCACACCACTAAGTAACAACTGTATATTAATAAGTAACAGTACAGTAAAACCTATAAAATGTTTTTATAAAACACAAGTATGTAAAAGGGTGAGTTTCCAGAGGTCCAATGCTTTAGAGACAAAGTCCTTCACAGTAAGAGCTTCAAGTAACACTTCCATCACCACTGGTCCTTGCACGTTCATTTTAAAAAGAATAAAAAAAATCGAACAAAATAAAATAAGTGCACATTTAGAGTACTCCACGAAACTAATCTGGTCCAGTAAAATGTTCAAATATGGCACAAATGATATTAATAAATAATCTGTGCTGATATAAGCACAATGTTTGACATGCCACTAGTAACACATGAATTACAAACTCATATGAACACAAACAACAGTGCGAGTCAGACTTTGGCCGAGGGGATTAGATATAAATAGTGAAAAGGAAAAAAAAGTCTCCCTCTGCGCCACACTCTGCACAGACACCATCTTCTTCACCCCTTCGTCTTGGCAGGATTCAAACCAGGCAGGTGAAGAAGAGCAGCCACACTTCCTGTGACGCTGCCCGTCTCTGCAGGCTGGGTCACACTGCTCTGCCCTCCAATCCTGGATCTGCCCTGATGTCTGGCCTTCTGTGACGGGACCTGGACAGACACATGTTGCATCTGTGGGGGGAGGGGGAAGTATGCAGTGCAGAGCAAAGAAGACACATCTCTGTGGCTCTGTATGCAGATGGGCTGGTAAAGCAATCTTACACCTCCAGGTCCGTCTCTCTGTTTCCTCCTCGCTCTAGGGAAGAAAGAAGTTGATCCTCTGAGGTATGGACTTGCATCCTTGGGCTGAGAACAGTCTCTCCTCTTTGGGAACATACAGCATTGCCTTGGCCACCTCATCCAGCGTGGCTTCATCTGTTTCCAGACCTCGTGCTGCGTATGCGTCCCGTGCACAGAGCTTAATGTGACGGTACTCCAGGGGCAGAAAGGGCACAAAGAAGTCAATCAGGTGACCAGACATCAGCTCACTCTGAGCAAAGCCACCTGGGATATTAAAACAAAACAGGAAATAGAAACATATTTAAAGTTTTAACAATGTGTTTTGGTTCTTTTTTATCATACGCTGTATATAAAAGATGGCATTCATGCAGTTTTCTTCCAGGTATGAAAAATAAAGCCAGTGTACTGATTCTTTGGTCAGCAGGGGGGGCAATTCCTGAGGTGGTCTGTGACCTCGGTCATCACTTTCCTGCTAATTTTGTAACCAGAAACATAAACATGGTATGTTTTAACATGTGATTAACCACGTGAGTAATGAAGTTGTTAACCAGTAAGTGTACAAAATCCACCCCTCACTCATGAGTACCAGATTCAAAGATGAGGCTACACAATAGGACCTCACTAACCCATGGGTAACACTATGCTGGTCTAAGCTGTTTTTATATTACTTTAGCGGCTTTCAGCAAATAATTTCAAGCCACTGAGCAACCAGAACACCCGAGTAACTTAATGGCTAAAAAAAAGGCTCAAAGCTTAAGAAAACCCACCAGGCAACCTTTACAAAAACTTTACTGCTCACCTTGAGACTCCATAGTCTCAGCTCGCAGCCGATGCTCCAGGTCTTCCATACCGATGTCCTCTCGATTCTGGCCAGAGTGCCAGAAGTCCAGCGCCACGTCGTTGATTGTTGCACCACCAATGTTACTGCAGTGACAACAGCAAAAACACAACATTATATGTCTACAGCTGCTGAGCTTCTCAGGGAGACTCGATTCTTTCTGGTTTGGCAGCAAAGTTTCTTTAATACAAGTTGCTCTTAGATAAATGATCACAGTTCAAAGATGGCCAGTAATTCACTCACATCTCTGAACCATAACTGTTGAGTGAAAAACGGCTTTTTCTATTTTTGACTGAACAGACTGTTAGTCAGGACAAATCTGACTTGAGGAATTGAAAACATGAAAAATCCATACAGAAGGCGACAGAAGGAGCTCCATCCTTCACCACTGATGAGCTGCCAGGCTATCTGGACAGGAAGTGCACAGAGAGCTTTACAGCTTCATCAAACTGTGCCTGAAACAGTCAGCTAACCTGAGGAAGAGGAAGATGGCCCTGCGGTAGCTGACCCCATCTACGTTGTCATAGTGATCCATGAAGGGCTTGATGGCGTCGATGAGGCCCGGATGAAGCTTTTCAGCCTCATCGAAGATGAACAGAGTCTGAGGGCAGCGCAGCACCATGTCTCGAATTGCTTCTCTCAGCTGACCCTGGATTTCAGGCAAAAAACAAACAAAAAAAACAAAAGTCAAACATTATTATCATTTTATAACATTTCAGATCTGACAAAAGCTGATTATTATTTCCTTTCAAGCTTTATATATAGAGATATTAAACTGGGCATAAAATATTACAAACTGAGATAACTTAAACCAACAGCCGACATTTATCTAGAATGTTTTAATCTTTTTAAACGAATATATAAATGTGCCGTTGTTGGTAAAAGTTCTTTAAAAGAATTAGCCCTGTTATATGCCACAGAGGTTCAGTGGGAGGCTGTACTACAACACGTAGACACGTTAAAGTCCACATTTGCACACTCTGCAGACTTTGAGGGCATGAGGGTAGAGGTTATCCCGTGAACTGCATATACCTATTCATATTTGGATAGCTCTGTACTATGCACCATGTATTAATGCTATGTAAACACAATTTTGAAATCAGCTGCAGTGACTGTGAAAAAATTTGCTCAAATGAGACTGAGCTGGCACCTCTGACCCAGTTGGACAAACGCCAGGTTCCAAACATCCATTTCTCTGAGTATTTGTGTCGCAGCATCAGTGTTGACTTAAAGCATCTGTCCAAACCATGACTGCTATCACTCTTATGATGAATTACAACACAGAATAAATATCTATGTAAGCAAAGCAGCGTCCAGAGAACACAGGTACATGTTCCTGGCACAGGACGGCCATCGCTGTGCCAAGTGGGCTCACCTTGTACGTGTCCACCAGCCTGGCGTGCGGGAAGTGGAACGGGGCGATGAACAAACGGACACACTCGCTCTTCACCCCGTCCCGGTACAAGTTATCAGCAATGATCCGGGCCACAAAGTTCTTGCCTGTGCCGGACCAGCCGTGGAAGGAGAGCGTCAGGGGCTTGTTGGACTCGGGGTTGTTGATGAAACCCTGGATGGCTTTCAGAACCACGGACTGAGCCAGATGTTGCCCGTGGAGCTTCGTCTGAAGGTCTCTTGCTAGACCTGCACATGAGACCATAGATTTTTGATTTTGATTTTAAAGGCACCGGCAAATATGAATAAAGTGCTCTGTGTTAAAATGTCTACTTTTAAAATATGTGATATAGCCAATAAAACGTAAAGTTGTTAAAGGGCTGCATCAGGCACTGAAGCTAAAGCCCTTATCAGATGATGAGTAACTGTGTGCAGTGTTGGGTGAATTCACAAACAGACGATTACAAAGAATAATGAGGGGAAACGACCAACACACGCTTGGGGCAAAGCGGGCAGCCACAGAGCAGCAGTGCGATACCTGTGATGTTGTTGGTTATCCTGCAGTCTCCGGACTCGCAGCACTGACCCAGGCTACAGTACCACTGATGCAGCAGGCTCATGTAGTCCTGAGGAAACCCTGCCCAGATATCCCTGGTAGGAACTGCTCGCATCACAAGAGCAGGGCGAGAGAAGTCCGTGTTTATAACAGTGTAATAACGAATCGTAAAAATAAAAATATTGCAAAATGCGCACGAAGCACGATGTAGCTTGCGAAATGAGCGCTTTTGTTATAAAATGGTTTTTAATTTCTTTTACCATCTCTTACCTTGCTGGGTGGCATCATCCTGATTGGGCTGACACTCCCCCTCCCAGATATTGCAATAAATATAATTAAAATAGTAAGTAGAGACGTTGCTAATGCTATCGAAATGGAAGAAGTCGGCCTGTGCCGAGACAGCCCAGAGCAGCAGGAGAAAGCACCGCGCAGACATCGCGAACAGGCTGACGTGAAACGGTCCAAACGACACTGAACACGAAGCCCCGTTTCTGCTCTCCCATTTATCTGAACGCGGTGGTCCACCGGCGGCCTGCTTTGACTGGGATACCCCTCCCCGCCCCCGACAACGTCTCCCTGCTGAAGCCAAAGAGGGGCGCTTGTTGTGCGGTTCGCCGCGGGCGGGCGGAGGGGCGGTTACTACCCCATTCCCTACTGCTCGCATCAAATTTGATTGGAGCCATTTTAATGGGAGCGAAGCCTGTACTGCAACGCCATATGTCACGCTACCGAGGTAAGAGGCTTGCGTGTCCACAAACAGCCCACGGTCAGCAACGCCAGCTAGATAATCCCGCCCTTGGGAGGTCAGCAAGTGACCAAATCAAACTCCTTTCCATTACATAACGTCACTTCCGGCGAAAAGTCGTACACTTGCTCTAAATCTTATTTACTTTTCATAGTTGTGTCATTAGACTTTACTACTCCACTGTTTGCATAACTGGTTTAGTAATATAAGATCAGTTCATTTGGCGCTCAAACACATCACCCATCGAGAAAGGCAGGAGAAAAACAGATGCACACAAATGAGTCAATAACAAATATTTTATTGTTACAAATTGAAGTCAACAGGATCAGGTCACAATCCAGACGTAATAGCACGAGCAGGGTCTGAACACTGAGTCCTGCAGGTGAAAATCTGTCAACATCACTTTCCAGCTTTTCAGGAAACAGCACCAGACGGTACCATTTAGATTTATTATGAAGTGACAGACTTGTGCTTGATTGTGCTTCAGTGCCGGAGGCGTCACACCTGTGTAGAGAAGAAATCATTAAAATACAAGTACAGACTACTAACAGAAGAGTTAACTAGCAGTTAATGACCACATGACCTCAGAAAAAAATGGAACGGTAAGGGTTATAATCAGCTTAAGTCATCTGGCAAAATCAGATCATCACTAGTCTTGTGGCCACCTTGAAATAATTGTGATTCAGGACTGGACAAAAACACTCACCAAGTAAAGAACTTGAACTTTTCCCCATCTGAAAAAGAAGAATGAAAAACCTTATTACAAGTCAGCGACTGGCTGATTCATATTTTATTCGCTGGGTTGCTCAGTGACAGACTGTCCACATGAGTGTTCAGGTCAGACATTTGTTGTAACATCACTGAACCCCTTATGACCATCGTGCACTTTTAAGTCAGTTTTCTCACCTCAGTCACTCTGGTGTGGTCCACACTGGGTCTCCATCCCTCACACAGAACAACCTGAAGATATGAGAGCATCAGTCAAACATGCACATCAACTGCAAAGATGAAGGAGTCAACGCTGACCTGGTCAGCTAGAGCTAATAAACAGACTCCATGGTTTAAAGTCAGTCTGTACTT